TCTGTACTCAACAAAATGCTGGCTGCAAAAAGTCTTACTACATCCACACCAAGAAAGCTTCGTGCAAGGTCTGCAGGTCCCACTGGAGAGACCATTTGGCAGGAGACAGCCCAACATAAGAGGAGATGAGGAAACCACTTGAGGACAGCTTAAAATCTGGAAAGATGACAGCTAATCGCTCAGTGAGGAACAGCTGAAGGCAAACTTTGTTTGATATGTCTGAAAAAACACAGTATGTTTATTTAAACTGTTACTTTCATAATCCATTGAATCTTATCACGGGTCACTATCTTCACTCCCTTACCTTATTGGGTACATTCATTAGTGTTACAAAAAATTTTCATAAAAAACTAAGAATTAAAAGTACAGCTAAGAACAGTCATGATCTGTGTGAAGAGTCACCATTGTACTTCCTCGACCCTAATGTGGTTATTTTTTTGTTTCAAATAAGAACATTAGGTTATCTGAGTTAGGTTAAATTATGGAATATTAAAAGGAACATCTTTTTTGATAAAGAGAACAGAGTCATACTTTAGATTATAAGGAGAAAACTTATGAGAACTCATGACATCAAGGCATAGCAAAGACGGACAAACACAAAAGGACAGGATGACCCCGTCCCAGAGCGTCCCATGATAGTGCACACACCATCCCAGCATATGAGCTGCTGAGCCCATGGCCTGACCAGGATGCAAATTCCCTCATTCTTTCCACTTTCTCTTTGGAGAAAAGATTTTCTTTAAATTCCCACACCCCTAGCCTTGACTCTGGAGCCAGGTCAGGAGGCTCACACCTGAAGAGGTGTGGCTGCTACTGAAACACACCAGGGAAGACTTTAGCTATGGTCACTACTGTTACAGTGTCATAGCTATGTCAAAATGTGTGGCAAAGATCCTGTTTTGGTTTACAAAGAAAGGAAGCAAAATAATATCTTATATATGACAAACTGCTTTTCACCACATTTTCTCATTTAATCTCCACCACAATCCCATGCAGTAATTACTGTTAGAGGCTTTTTTTTTTTTTTTAAACTGATGGGACAATAAAAACTCCAACATAAAGGGATTTGCTCTGTGCTGTAGGTTCGGTCAGCAGCAAAGCTGAAAGAAACCAGGAGCAGAGCCCATGTCTCTGGCCTCCCATGGGCAGCCCACACAGCCCCCGGGGCCTGCACTTGGGAACATGGCTTGGGTGTTCCAGCCTTAAAGGACTCTTTGGGAGGGGCCCGGAAGTGAGGAGAGGACAACGGGGCACTGATGCGGTGCAACACTTGGCTCCTGCAGTCGCCCTTCCTCGACCACCACCCACCGCCTCCCAACCACAGAACCAATTTTCCACACTGCTTTTCAAAGACAGAAATGGAGGAAACGGTTGTGGTAACAAATAAGTACTTTTCCAAGACATTCTGTCCTAAACCATCTGCTCTGGAAAATTCAAACGGGGACCAAAATGAGAGTTTTTCCTCCTCACGGTGCCTTCTTGATTAAAGGGGAGACCACAGATACACTTAATTCTTTAAACAAGAATGTATGGACCCATTTTGGCCATTGCAATTTTATTTTTCTGTAATTTATGCAGAACTTTCAACATAGTAGAAAGAAAAAAAATTTTTTTTTTACATGTGCTAGGTACTTACATACTGAAGGATTATAAACAGCGGGTTTGGCAGTATATTCAAAACAGGCTTTAACCTTGAGGCTGTATAAAATCAAACACATATTTCTTAAAAGATGTATTACTGCAGTGGAAAAAAACATGTTCCCCAGCTCTCCAATCCCCCCACTGCCCACTGATGAGTAAATGTCATGTATTCACTTGACAGATTCCTCTTCACTTTGCCTAGCACCCCCCTTAATCCTGCCTGGGGCTCTGCAGGGCAACAGGGGCCTCATAAAGCAGAGGTGGGAAACTGAGGAGGATTCCATGAACTCAGAGAACTCTCACCATATCCCACTAGGTGCCCCACACGATGTCTTCTGGCGGAGGTCAATTCTGTTAGGAGTTACTGTGATGGTTTTCTGAATATTAATGACAGGCCGGGATCTGAATACAAAAGAGTTAAAAACAAGCTAAGCCTTTTGTTACCTTGAACGTAGGATTAGTTGACATCCTAGATGGCATCCTTCGATGCCTAGCACATCACAAAAACCATAGGAAACGAAGTTTGCACATGTGATTTTTCCCCACTGCTGAAGAAAATAACCTGATATAAACTTATGTAACTTAAAAGCCTGATTATACAATATGAGGGGTCTTCAAACAGTTCATGGATTCATATTATCTATTAATTCCATTTTTCCACTAACTTCATGAAGTAACCTACTTGTTTAAAAACTTGCAAACATATGAGTATATATGCGACATGTAAAAATTTCAGACGTTGGGGCCAAGCCCTTGGCGCACTCGGGAGAGTGCGGTGCTGGGAGCGCGGCAGTGCTCCCGCCGCGGTTTCGGATCCTATATAGGGATGACCGGTGCGCTCACAGCGCTCACTGGCTGAGCTCGGTGCGGCCGGTCTCAAAAAGGACAAAAAAAAAAAAAAAAAAAAGTTTCAGACTTTGAAAGCAAAAATTTTGTCTTCATTGCCACCCAAACACCCTAGTAGCCTTGGTATGTTCTTCCAGACACATTAGTCTATGTGTTTTTGTTCAAAATATTATCTAAAATTAAATATTAAAAAAATGTATAATTTAACTAATTGGGAGCTTTTTATGCTTATTGTTTTGTATGTTGCTTTTTCTCATTCACTAGCATTTCACAGGTCTTCTCATATTTATAACACATATGAAGGTACCTCCAAAAAAGTCACAGAAAGATTCGTATTACCTTTTAA